CTGTAAACCTGCATGCACAGCCATCATCTCCATCAGCACTTCCAGCTGACTTTCTGCTTTGCCAACCCCACTGCCAAGCCATTTTGAGACACATCAGAAAAGTGCCACCTCGGTCTCCAGGACCATTTCTTTGTTTGACAAGGCATAAAGCAAAGCTGATGTGACCAAGCGCACTGACCACAGCACAGGAAGGAATCTGACCTAACCTGCTGTAGTGCCAACAGGTTTGCGTGACTGCTTTTATCCATTTTTGGCCCACAAAAGACTGGGAGAAGGTGCAGCCCACAGCTTTCCTTCCTGATCAGTGGAAAAGCCCCGTCAGAGACAAAGAACTGCAGTAATCAGGAAGGACGTCTCCTTTGCCCTAGGACCTTGAAGAATTTTGCATTAGGAGGGATCCTAAAGATTATTTTCACAAAGGAGGATTGGGAAGGGAGAAGAAAAAGCCTTCCAGTTCAAGCCAGCCCAGCTTCTCTCTTCTTTTGTCTCCTTGCAGTGAAAAAAGAGTCTCATTTTTTCTTTGTATTTTCTTTTTTCTCCTGATCCTTTCCTTGGACATAGAAAAAGAAAGCTGGTGAATGCCCCTTGAATAGTCTTGTCTTCTGTCTCCAGAATAAAGAGAAAATAACCTTTTAAACTGTGATGATGGCCCATGAAACACAGTTAATTAACCTGCTGTGATGGAGGAAGGCTTGACTGCTGTGGTGTGAACAGCTGAAGGATAGATGAGGAAATAGAGAAAAACACTGGAGTTTGGGGACAAGATGAGAACACAGCTATTTATCTGCTTGATTTCCTTTTTGGAAGACTCACATCATTTATGTTTTGTGTAATACTGTCACACATAGAAAGGAGGCTAGAGAAGTATGTCTGGCTGAGACACAGACAGCCCTATTACCTGCTGAGTGCCCTGCCCGCAGCAACATCTGAAGATGTGCAGGGAAATGGAAGCCTAATGCTCTGTGTATGCCTGTGCTTCTTACACCCTGGCTGTGCAAACTGAGAGTTTAAATGAACCATTTTTAAGACCAGTCCCATCTGTCCAGGTTGAGGTTTTCTTTAGTTAGTTGAGTGTTCAGTATTCTGGCTGCACTGCACTGGCTGGCTATTTATCTGCCTCATCTTCAGGCTCCAGGAGGCAGTTTCTTTCCCCCACATCTATGCCAGAAATTCAACACACATATGACTCCAGTCTGATCGTATCATTTTCTCTTGCAGCAGTCCAAAATGCTGGGAAAAAGGCCAAGGAGATTTACAAGGGAAAAACAGAAAACACGACAAATAAAAAGGCCAAAAAAAACCACTTAGGATCTCACGATGCCAAAGTGAGCAGCAGTGCTGCTGGCACAGCTGGTCCACAGTGGATAACAACACACCAGAAGTGATCAGAACCTCGTCAGCCAGCACATTTCTGCATGTCAGCAGGCAGTAGGCACTCTGCCTACAGACTGGTTGGTGGCTCTGCTCCTCACACTGCTACTTCAGCTGCATGAACAGCCCCATCCCTGCTAGTGGCACGTCCCCTGGCAGCCCACAGCCACATAGGCAGCTCTATCCCTGCTGGTGGCACGTCCCCTGGCAGCCCATGCTACTTCCTCTCCCTCCTCGGGTTCCAGTCAGTGCTGGAATGTGACATTTGACAGAGCCTGCAGGTTCAAGACTCCTTAATTCTGACACGGTGTTAAGTTTATTACAACCTGGTGAAATGCATCACTACCAAATTCATAGCTCTGCTCTCCTCCTTTCCCACATGTTTTCATGAGGAAAGTGAGAAGCTGGACCTTTCAAATAACACTCTTTTTAAAAAGTGTGATGCCAGAGCAATACAATGTATGCACAATATGAAAGGATGAAGTTCCAGGATAACTGCTGCCTGTAGCCAGCAGTAACAAATCACAAGACTTTTAAATGAAAGCCCAGTCTATTAAAAGTGCTTCTGTGCTAGGGGGCCAGCAGACCAAGGTAATATCAAAAATGTTGGGCTTACTATTGCAGAGTACTGAGACCTCTTGAAATCCGAGCGTCCCCAGACTCTCTGACTTAGAAGGGAGCTGGAGAACTTTAACCCTTCGTAGAACCTGCTCACAAATTTTCTGTCTTTGATGTGGGACAAGGCAAATATCTAATGGGCTCCAAAAATCACAGGCTGGGAAAAATTTGCCACACCAGGATTTTTGTTCCTTAGAATCAAATTGCATGAATAAGTCTGGTTGCAAATGAGTTATTTGAGTTACCAAATGGGGCAGATTTGATCCTCTCAGGACTTCCAGTAGTCTACTGATTATTTTTCAGTTCAGCTGAATAATCACCATCTGCAACAAGAAATAGCAGGCGGTATTTCTTCCCCTCTCCCAGCTGGGTGGGGCAATACTTTGTCCCTGACATAGGCTCCATTATCTCCTGCCCTTGGGGCTGAAGACTGCAGCCCAGTTTTTCAACTGACTTACAGTAATGTGCCATCTTATCCAATAAGACAACGGTGCCATTTTATACTCGTTACAAAAATCGACAAACATCCCCAGATGTGATGACACCTTTCCACTGATTTCAGCGACTTCTGGATATGGCCCTCATGACACAGACCACATGGATTATTATTTCTTCACAATACTCAGAGCAGCGTAGTATGCTTAGAATCTTCTGTTAATGCTTTACTGAGGAAGGAAGCATAATAAAATATTGAGTGCCATATATTAAAGAAAATCTTTGTCTGTTTCAGCAGGAACCTGAAGTTTTACACCTAAAACACATATGGATGTTCAGATGCGGAGGCCAGAAGAACTGGCCCTTGGCTGCAGAAATGCAAGACTTTGGCATCGATGAGATGTGTTGATACCCAGGTGAGAGGATCTGACTTTTTGTCTTGCAGAAGGGCAGTTGGCTTAGTTCGTATACACGAGATAGCACCCATAAACCCAGTAATCCTGATAGGGGATTCATCTGCTACCCAGAATCATACTACTGCCATACTCCTGCAGTCAACTCCAGTCCTTTGTATTCCTTAACTCCCATTAGAATGTGCTTAATTTATCACAAATTTGGCTATAATTGGAGAAAGTGAACTTTTCAGCATCAGAAGTGAATGTTTCCATTCCATCTTACAGGCTCTTTGCTTAGAAATAGAAGAGTTAAATTGGAAGGGACATACAAAGACTGACTAGTCCACCTATGTGACCACTTCATGGATACTCACAAATTCAAGCCACAGCTTCAGCAGCCAGGTCATGTTCAGCTGCACAGCCCAGGGTGCCAAGCATGCTCACCACCCACTAGAGCAATACTGCTGTTTTCTCTACAGATATCTGTTACCTGAGTGCCTCATACTTCACAGAGGTTAGGAAGAAAACAGTTTAAAATGTAACCCATACAGATGCTTGCAGGCAGCGAGTGAGCCGACCACTAGCACAATACCCTTGTCCTGACATCAGTTTGCAGCCAGGTGATGAAAGGCATTTCACCAGCAGCTTTTAGAGCCACCTCTATTAAAGGCTGCTCCTGACCTTAGCTGTCTGAGTGCACTCTTTGCTAAGAATAATTATTTTGGGGTTGTTGTTTTGTGTTTATTTGTTTGTTTTTCCTAATTAATTGTACACTGAGCATCCAACAGGGATATCAATAACTGAACTTACACAAAGGCTTCAGGTGAAATCATTTGCACAAAGCATTAGCAGGAGTGTCAGAGTCCTCAAGACTTGGAGCAATGCTATCTCCAAAGAGCTTTGCAGCTTGATTTAGAAGGTTAGCTATTGACAAAATGGATTTAAGACTGATAATAGATTCTGACACTTCTTTGTCTTTCAGACTGATCAGAGCCTGCCTGCACGTGGGTCCATTGACTCCTGGGGAGCGAGAGAGTCCCTAGCATGACTGAAAGCAGTGGAACCCTAACCAGACCAGAACGATGCAGGTGAGGGCAATAGATGGGGACGTGGGTGGATAAAGGACTAAGTCTAACGAAGGGCCCACCTCCCCAGCTGTCTCACAGAGCAGGGGAAATGTTAAAGAGCAGGAGAGGGAGCAAAAGAAGCCCGGCAGCTGGGCGTCCCTGGAAGGAAGCAGAGAGCACGAAGCAGCCTCCAAAGGGGAGCGCGGAGAGGTAACGGCTGTAACCGGCACGGCTGGGAGCGCCGCGCTGCGCTGCAGAACAGCGGTGCAACAGCAGCGCGCAGTGACGGGACGGGGAAGGACAGCTTGGGGGAGCGGAACGGAGCCAAGAGCTCCGCTGCCTCTCCGGAGGGAAAGCCGTTGGGATTTCCAAATGCGAGTTGTGTTCTTCGTCTGCTGCTGTGTCTGCTGAGCTGCAGCGATCAGTGATGCGAGCCAGCGGGACGCAGAGGGTTGGGAACTGCGCAGGCAGTGAATGAGGAAGGGAAGCCTGGTTCCATAAGTTTAGCTACAGATGTTTTCTGTTTAGAGTAAGGGCACGGAAAGGTAGAAGCAGACTTTAGGCCCAGTTGCACAACTCAAAGCCAGCGTGTTAGTGGCTGTGCTGAACAGTACAGCTGTGTTAGACACAGACCTCAGCAAGTCGTCATTTGTAGGATTGAGTCTCTCTTCTTAGGAGCATGGCTGTATGCACCATTTATTTTTAATATCAGCTGTAGCATATCACCACATAACAGGCTGCGTTTATAAGAAACTGGGTGTTATGCTTCCAGGGAGAAATGTTCCTTGCAGTCCCAGTGTATCTCTGTAGAGTGTTGGGAGGAGTGCAGGGATGAGAACACTGGGTCCCGGGCACCACCACTCGGTAAATATTCTCTGGTTATTGCTTGTTTCTGTGGGGTTTTTTTGTTTTATTTTTTTTCACGCGTACAACACAGCAACCGTGCACACTGAGTTTCAAACTTGTGCCGCTAACAGAAGTTCGTGTTTTAACCCAAACGTGGTTACCAACAACAGACCCACAGCCCCATGGAACGGCCGCCAGAGGGACCCCCGCGCCGCCCGGACACGCGTCCCGCACCTCCCGCCCCGGCTCCCCATCTCGCAGTGCTCACCGCGGACGCCCGGCGGGCAGACGCACACGTAGCCCTCGGCGCGGTCGTGGCGGAAGGGCGGCGGCAGCTCGGGCTCGTGGCCGTAGCGGGCCGACCAGGAGCGCTCCAGGCAACGGCCCGAGGTGCACGGCGCGCTGCTGCACTCGCTGATGTCGGTCTCGCAGTGGGAGCCGGTGTAGCCTGCAAAGGCGAGCAGAGAAGGAAAAGACCCACCGGTCAGGTCCCTCAGTGCCACTTCTCCTCGGTTCTTGAACGCCTCCAGGGACAATGACCCCACCACCTCACCGGGCAGCCTGTTCCAGCACCACAGCTCTAGGCAGGGCAAGCACCTCCCCCAGGCTCGCGGTGAGGAACAAAGCCTAGCGGGCACTGAGCTCGTGGATGGCTTTTATGGCCATGTGGCTTCACGCTTTATATCTGCAAAAAAGGTGAACTTTTCTAACTGAGAGGGGTAAGGGGGTGTTACAGGAGAACCTGGGGCTTACCTGGCCAGCAGTGACAGATGACTCCATCAGCACTGTCCTCACATGTGGCGTTGTTGTAGCACGGCTGTGACCAGCACGGGGGTACATGGGTCTCACAGTGCGGGCCCATGAACCCGGTGCCAGTGCAGTTGCAGCTGTACCTGTACACAGGAAAAGGCAGTCACTGCAGGAGCCCAGTCTCTGTTCCCAAACATGCCCAGAGCTTGCATGCTTTTCTTAGGTTTCAATACAGAAATGTCAATTACTGGTGGAATTCCAATAGTAACAGTAATGTTAGCTTCTTTTTGATAGCAACGCTGTTGCTATGGGTTTAGACATGAACAAACTGGATAATATATACAAATACTAGAAATTGTGCATCTGAAATCATGGGGAATCTTCCTGAGCAACAGGCAAGAGTATACTTCTTTGGTAATTTCTGCGTTTAGTACCTAAATCTCAGACCTGCAGTAAATGCATCAAGGGAGCTGCATGCTGGATTTGATGAAGTGCCTGGGATCTGCTGGCCCCTGGGTCTGGCAGTCATGTACAAACTTTTCAGTGTCCTGTTTAAGTGTAAGTAGGCGAAAACATATGGCAGGGCAGCGTGTCACTTGTGTGGGGATTGTGCTTAAATTTAGAGGTGACACAGTCCAAGTAGCATTCGGATCTAAGATATAAAATGTATCAATATGAAAGTTATTTTTCTGATTCACATCCTCATCATTACATTTTCAAACTTTAAAAATCATGTGCTGATCCCAGTGAACAAAGGCAAACCAGAGCTCTGGCTGCCTGGGCTGTGCTGAACTTCTGTGCAGGGTGAACATCTGGTCACGTTGGGTGAAGCAGCTTCCTTGCCCTGAATTCTCTTCATTTACTACACTTTTGTGAACTGACTGCAGGTAGTTTTGCATCAGGAGCAGTTGCTCTACATGGCTGTTAAGTATCAGACAGGTGGGCTAATGGAGCCTATTGCTATGGCTACTCTGATCAGTTTGCCTCTTCTCCAATGTGTCTGCTTATCTGCTGTTCGCAGATTCTGTTTTGTCCTGGTTTCAGCTGGGAGATCATTGTTTTGGTTTTTTTTGGTTTTTTTTCTTCATAGTGCCTGGCACGACGCTGTGTTGCGGCTGTAGGACAGCAGCACTGTTGGTAACGCGCAGATGCCTTAGCTGTGGCTGAGCAGTGCCGCGCAGAGCCAAGAGCATTTTAACTTCTTGCCGCCCTGCCAGCGAGGGGAGGGGACAGTGAGCAAAGGGCTGCGCGGTCACCTCCCCTGACCCCCCCCGCTCCCCCCTCCGCTCTCCGCGCGTCCCCACGCGCACCCCCCGGGCAGGTCGGCGCAGCGCGCTCCGTGCAGGCAGGGGCTGCTGGCGCACTCGTCCACGTCCGTCTGGCAGAGGGCGCCGCGGAAACCGGGCGGGCAGGAGCAGGAGAAGGCGGCCGGAGCGTCGCGGCAGGTGGCGCCGTTCTGGCACGGCAGCGACTGGCACTCGTCCACGTCCAGCTCGCAGTTGGCGCCTGCGGGGAGAGGGGGGGAGGAGGGTAAGCGCGAGGCTCACGTGCTGGTTTGTTGTTTTGGTGTGTGGTTGGTTGGTCATTTCTCCCAGGAAACGGCAGGTTTCGCGTGGAAGTGTCTCAGTGTGCAGCCTTTTGGGTTTTTTTGTTTGTTTTTTTTTGTTTGTTTGGTTGTGTTTTTTTGTTTGTTTTTTTTTGCAAGGATTGGGGGAATTCACCAAAACCTGAAATTAGCTTGGAAAGCAAATGGTATCCTGGGCTCCATCAGAAGAGGGGAGGCCAGCAAATACAGGAAGGTGTATGTCCACCTCTACTCTGCTCTTGTGAGGCCCCATCTGAAGTACTGCGTCCAGGTCTGGAACCCCCAGTACAAGGAGCTGTTGGAGGGGGTCCAAAGGAGAGCCACTAGAGCACCTCCCTTACGAAGACAGGCTGAGGGAGCTGCCTTGTTCAGTCTGGAGAATAAAACGCTGCAGGGTGATCTGATTGCAGCTTTCTAGTACCTAAAGGGAGCCTACAAACAGGAAGGGAGTCAACTCTTTGAAAGGCTAGATAACAACAGGACAAGGGGAAATGGCTTTAAGTTGAGGGAGGAAAGATTTGGGTTGGATGTCAGGGGGAAGCTCTTTACTCTGAGAGTGATGAGGTGCTGGAACAGGCTGCCTAGAGATGTTGTGGATGCCCCATCCCTAGAGGTTTTCAAGGCCAGATTGGATGGGGCCCTGGGCAGCCTGGTATTAAATGTAGAGGTTGGTGGCCCTGCATGTAGCAGAGGGGTTGGAGATTCATGATCGTTGACGTCCCTTTCAACCCTGGCCATTCTGTGATTCTGTGATAATTCACAAGAGCAGGCCTTTTATCGTTAGCACAAACACAGAAACAAGTTAAACAAATTTTTGCTCATTCAAACCTACTATGCTACTATCATATTTATATGATTAGCAACTTAATATCATCAAAGCTGCACCAGTAGCTGAACCCAAGATTACTGACTGGTCAGCTGTGCTTTGATGCTTAGTGTGTGTTTGCTCCTCATAGTAAGGTGCAAACAGCCCAGCCTTGGGTGCTCGGAAGGCTGCGGTCCTGGAGCTCCTCTGCGGAGATAACCAATGAGAACGCAGCAGTGCTAATGGCAGTTCACAGCTCTTGATGACTGCTGGCAGGTTACATGCATGCTCCTTTTCCTTATCTCTACTATAGTTCAGGAGATTTTTTTTTTAAAAAAAAAGGACTGTTAATGTCCTGCATTTCCCACTTCGGTCATTCCGGCATTCTGCATGTTTATCTACTTATTTCATGCATTGGGTAAAAAGAAATGATTTGTATTTTAATAACTTCCACCTGCCAAGTCAGCTTATTTTAGCAGCCATATCAGCCTCAAAATACATTGGCACATTGTAGTGAAAAAGCTGCTTTTAAGCTGACCTGCCTGTCTGTCCTTCAGCAGCAAAGGAGGAGCAATATTGTGAACAGTTCTCAAGGGCATTTCCTGATTGGGAGGGAATCTTCAGCAGGGGAGAAACTGCAGGGACTTTGGGCCCTTTCTGGGGGCTGGAACTTCATCCCTCTCAGGTGAAGGGCAGGCTTCCAAAAGATGCAATGAACACAGGTTGTTTATTGAGACTATCTTAGCGGTTCATTTAAGAGCTCATCTTTAGCTCTTTCCTGATGCTGCTTTTCCTGTACTGTTCTGAAATTAGTACATTTAACTAGGAACTTTTTGTTTCTTCTGAAAACACTGATATTACTGTTATTTAGCACTGTTTCTTGATATCTCATTTATTTTGTCCCTCTGAATGTAGCATGCTCATCTAAAAAAGAATAAAAATCCATAGAATGGATAAATATCTGAAAATACCTTAAAATATCAAGACAAATTGGAAAGGTGTTAGCTCATAACTATTTTCACTGCGTTTAAACTTAATTCTCATCCAAATACATGCACTTTTTTAAATCTTCCTGGGTAGTTACAAAGCACAGTTACCATAATTTTATGAGATGTACTCTTAAAACTTCTTGAGGCCGCACATAAAGCGCGAGATAGGTAACGTTCCCAGTCTGTACCCCCAGCCTGTGCCTCGGGGATTTGGCTGCCAGTGGGAGCACCGCAGTGATCCTGCGCGGATTTATGGTAATGCGCATCGCATCCAGACATAGTGAGCGATCGCTCTGCAGTCATTGCCCTGTGAATCCACTGTAATTGTAAGCAATGTGTTTGCAGAAGTGTGTCTAGTGACCGTAAATCTGCCAGAGCATGTTAACAGCTCACTGCAAGCACTGTGAGCCATGTGACAAAACAAGCCCCGCTCAGCGGAGCCGCGGCCCGGCCGGCTTTCAGACCGTGGCGATTAGCAGGAGAGCTCAACGTTGTTTTGTGCTTCACGTCTTTTAATCTATCAGCCCAGCAACCTGCCTTCGGCAATGCTGCCTCAGAAGAAAACTTCCCTCCCTGATGTGCCCAGCCGACGTGATGTGCCGCACGAACGGGGATTCCTTCCCAGCCCAGGCGAGTCTGCTGTCAGATTTTCTCAGATGCGAGGAAGAGAGATGAAAAGATTGGATCTGCGTTTGCACCTCAGTCTTATGTTTTGTCATGAATATGCTGAGTGCCAAACATCATGTGCCAGAAGGCAGGAAAGGAGAGCAGTGCCAGGCACTCCTTGGCCACTCCACAGGGCCAGGAGTTAGGGAGGGGTGGCAGTGCCATGTGTACCTAGCCACACCGGTGCTTGGGATTGGGAAGATGGATATAAGTGATGTTTATAAATTTTGTGGTTTCTTCAGTTACTTTATACTGCTTGCTTTCTAGCTAAGTCCTGCAATGCTCTTCTTTGATAATAATAATAATAATAAAAAAAAGGCAGGTGAAGGTGAAAGGTCTGTGGCCCCTATTTCCAACTCACTGCCTGTGGGCAGGGTTGGACAGAGGAATGTGTGGGCCCTGTGCAGACCAAAGGGGGAATCCAGGCCCTCTCCCCTCCTGCACTGCATTGTGGAGCTCAGGCACCCTGGGAAGGGGAGGGCTTCTTAGAATTCTTCTATCTGTATGGAGTGAGGTTGTGTCCCACCACCCAGATGGGGTGTGTTAGATAGCCTTCCTGTTTTTCCTAATCACTAGATTTAAAAGAGCAGGCAAAGAGCTCGCACCTTCCCTTCAGCAGAACTCATAGAAGAATCCCTACTTGGAAGGAAGTGTTTGGTTTTATGGGGTGAAGTGTGAAGTGATGTTTCGGCACAACGAGGCTGAGTGCAGGCAGGCACAAGGACAGCAGCAGTGGCACTTTGATTCAACAAGATTTTTTTTGCCACTTAGCAGTTTTCCTATGTTTTTTGGCATGGCACCGGTTTGAATAGCAGTGTGATGATTTGTACCAACAACTAGCTTGTGGGATAGATGTTCTATGCTGGTAGTCTGACAACTGGGTGCCTAAAGGCTTTGGGAGTGTTTCTTTTAGTGCCTAAGGCATACAGTGCATCTGGTGTAAATATTTGCATGGTGCATATTTACTGCTAAGAATACTGAGTGAGAACTAGGATTCATCAGTTAATAATTTCCTCGTATTGTACAGTCTGTTTCAGTTGCGTCATAGTAAAAGTTCTTGCACGAAGAATGGATGTAGTCTGTTGCACCTATCTCGTCTGACCCTGAAGAGCATTCCCTATGCTAAAGGGGACTGTCTTGGGCTCGGGCTGGTTTTTGGAGCAGAAGTCCTGGGTAGTTCGCAGCAAAGCATTTGAGAGGACTGGCTTCCTTAAGCAGAGTGCAGCTTGGTAATTAGCATCCCCGGCTGTGGGCAGCCAACAGGCGCCATCGCCCGGCTCTGCTGGGGTGAATTAAAGCAAGTGTAATTAGGCCAATGGAGGGAAAGAGGCATTTGATTAAGGTAGCCAGCAAAACTTCGACGAGGCAATTGGGCTTCATTATTTAACAGCTGCATGACACATGTCTTGTAAATAATTTCACACATGTAGAACATTATCATAGAAACTGCAGATTTCATGCTAAATTTTCCAGTCTTGGGCTCTTGGTGCGTTCTAACCTCTTCCATTTGTGTAAGAATTATGTGTGACATTTCTCAGCTATTTTAGGAAGTGCTGCAGCATAGCAATTGTACAGAATACCAGTCGTAGTCCACGAAGCAAGTAGCAACTGCAGCCTGTAACTCAGGCATTTGGTTAACATTACTGCTGTAGAATTTACTGTGCATTCTCTACCTCCATATCAGGAGATATCACCTTTTTAACATCTTAGGGAAATGAGATGAGGCTGGATGACTTCCCGCAGTAATTCATGGTGTCAGGCTGGGATACTAATGGTTGGCAAGATCCCCCGGTGGAGTAAATGAGGGTTTTTATTACCAGTGGGGACACCTCGGGGCTTTCATCCAATAATCCCCCTGGCTTGTGCATTTAGCACAACTCACAGCAAGGTGCAGAAAACAACAAAAAAGAGTGCTTCTGATAAATCATTTGGTTAAGTAGCCTTTAAAAGCTGCTGTTTTACTGCTAAAGGAGCAGCCTGCCACTTCTGTATGGAGCAGTGGTGATTCATCTCTGAGCTGCTGAGAGGGACGTCAGAGCCATGTGTCAAAGCACTACAGCTCCTTCTCCTTTGTGTTTTAGACATCTTTTCCTTCCTTGGCTCTCTAATCTCCTAACTCTGCTTATTCTGAGTGCTCTGCACTCAGAGTGACTCTGCTTGTTTTTGGCAAGACCTAACAGCATCCACCTAGAAACCTGCAGAATTTTCTGATGAAAGCAGGGCAACTCCAGCAGGATGAGCTCCCTCCAGCAGTTTATTTTGGTCTAAATCTTTACTCCTCTGTCTGGGCTTTTATTATTTTATTATGTTTTTTCCTTCTGTCTCTAAGGTGTAGATTCTGTCTCTCAAGCTGAGTTCTTGGTCTACGAATCCAGGCCTGGGCCTCACTGACAGCACAGGTTAAACAAATACAGTTTCCTGAATACCACAGGAGGTCTGGGCTGAGTCTAATCATTGCAGAGTAGCCATGCTGATTGTTAATAGGCTTCTCCTTCCTCCTGCTTTCCCCTGGTTATGCAGTTTTCCCCTCGCCTGGCCCGGGCTCAGACACCCGCTGGTAGCAGCAGGGTGGCAGGAAGGTAACAAGCTTCCTTCAAACAACATTCACCCTGCTCATGAGGGATGCTAACTGAGGGCCGGCTTCCAACAAGAGCTGCGTCAGAGCTGGAAAGCTGCTTTTTACCTCTGACTTCCCTTCCTGCATGGGGATTTTGGGATGGAGCTGTAAACCGCATCTCTTATTTCTTATTCATTTGAATCACTTGAAGCAAGAGCTATACTTTTTCCCTTTCTTTTGCTGTGTGATTCTTTTTTTCTTTGTTTACCTAGTTGGCAATCTATTGCTAAAACACATCCCCTTTTTGCTCTTTAATGATTCACTGTGCACTCTCTTGCTATCCTATCTGTGAATTCATCTTTGAAATTTGAAGGGAACAGCCCCCTGCAGCTATTTTGTGCTCTCCAGTAGAGGAAGTAGGCAAGAAAAATCACACCAAAACCTTAAAAATGGGACCAGATAAAATGGGAATTTATCCCAAACCTGATCACACCAGGTTTGGGAACCTAGTCACACTTTTTCTTCTGTGTAAACTTCTGTGATGTTGTAGTTCCACAGGAATCCTCTGTTTCTGGTAAGGCAGGGGCGAGAAAATCAATACAATTAGTCAAGGTTAAGTCTACCTAAGGTAAGTGGTGAGTTCAGGGTATGTATGACTTATGGGCACGGGGAGGGATGGCTGTTGCAGATGTAGTGGCACTTTTTTGATTTTCCTGATTCTGTTTGGAAAGCTAAAATTTGGCTGTAAAATATCTATTTTTCTCTGTCAGCAAGACATTTTTATCCTAGTCCTCACTTTCTTACCCATTTCTGATCCTGCAAATCTTTCTAGGCTTTTGTATTCTGCCTGTCTTTCTGTCTGCCTGTCTTTCAGCATTGCTCATAGCTCACATTGATACCAAGCTTTCTCACTCAACTGGGAAGGCCACTATATGGCCATGTAAAATTTCATCAACTTCGAACTGCTAAAAATCTGAACAGTAAGAATTGTGTCTAAGGATAATTGTTTTTGATTCAAACTGATAAACTTCCTTCTTGACAAATGTCCATTCTTCTAGAATATCCAGCTGCAATTTTCTGTATCAAGTGGTCAGCAGATGTACTCTATAGAGGAAGGCATACTTTTTTTTGAATGCCTGGAACTCACTGCAGTATTGCTGCTTTCCTTCTCAGATAAGAAGCCTGAAATGAGTTTTGGAAACTTTTCCTCTGGCAAAAAGAAAAGAAATCTATCTGTGGATTCAGCCAGGCTAAATCAGAAAAATAATAGAAGAGGAAAATTTGAGTTATAATACGTGACATCAGTAGGACATATAGCTTAGGAAAACTTACCAGAATGAAACCAGAAAGGCATAGCCATTCTGAGCATTGATGTTGAGGGAAAGTGATAGAATAATCTATTTGGCCTTGAGGTCCAGTAAAATAGAAGAAGAGAAAGAGGCCTGTTAGCGAGGGTGGAAAAGGGAAATCCATTAGAAGAGAAAGAAAGTCTGAATTGGATGTTTTTGAAAGTTGCTGAAAAAGATACCTTTGTTCATAAAGCAGGGGAAAATGAAAGAGAATGTTTTAAAAGGCTCCCACAAAGCAAATGCCTAATTTTAAGAATACTCTTTATTGTAATTAGCAAATCAACCAAGTCAAATTAAGTCTAGTTTTATCACTATCAAACATAAGTTTTGTCTGTGGATGAAAAAGGACTTGTATTTTGAGAATATTTCTGTTAAGACAAAAGTTAACTGGGGCTGTGATGTTTGATGTTTGTTAGAGTGCTCTGTAGCTTGTAGAAGATGTGAAATTTCTTTATGTATTATCACTAGTCAACTATGATAAGGTGTAGCCTGTAAGATGCAGCCGCTGGTGCTGAGGCTGAAGGCCATGTAGTAAGATAGGTATGACTAAATGTGTGTCTGTGTGCGTTTGTATAGGGATAGATCTTAGAACATGGAGTATGGTAGTTCTCCATGACATAAATAAATGATTGTTTAAAACAGTGCTTACCTGTGTACCCAAGTGGACATATGCAGTAATACCTCCCTATAAGGTTAAGACACGTTGCCCCATTCAGGCATGGGTCTGACACGCATTCATTCACCTCCAGGTCACAGTGCTTGCCTTGGTAGCCTGGGACACAGTAGCAGGAGTATTCATCAATCCCATCCCTGCACACTGCTCCGTTGTGGCACGGTTCCGAGCTGCACTCATCAACATCCATTTCACAGCGTGTACCTGTGAATCCTGTGCGACAGAGGCAGGTGGGCCTGGCCAGGCCATCGAGGCACGTGCCTCCGTGTTCGCAGGGGTTGCTGTCACACATACTGATGGCTATTTCACAAGTGGTCCCATTGTACCCATCCGGGCACTCGCAAGTGAAATTGAGGTTTCCAGCAGAACTTGAACAGGTAGCATTTTGAAGACAAGGGTTTGAGAAGCAAGGATCGGAGGTGTTATTGCAGAGTTCCTCCAAGCGTTCCTCAAGTGACATGTCCGCACAACGGCAAATATTGTCTCTGTGACCAGTAATGCATGTGGAGTTCTTTTGGCAGGAGTTCGGTGGGCACCTGGAATCATTTCTCATGGGAAGTGACTCTAGAAAGGAAAGAAAAACGATCCTGAGGGACTTCCCCAGTAAACCAGAAAGAACTGCAAGTCTTACCACAAATCTATATCTTGTAGAAGTGGTCATCAACGGCTATGCAATTATCAAACTGAGTGGCATGAAGTTTACAATGGCATCCTATGATTATTACTATTTTTTAACAAAAGTCATGTTACTAAATCATGTGTGCTTCAGAAAATCCTTGAAGCTTGGATTCATAGTTCAAGAATCTATTTTCCACATGTTTTCCCCTCTGTGACAAACAGGTTGTTTAGAGCACCTCCCTATCTCCCCTGCAGACACTCAGTTTCCTTGCTGTTATGGAGTGATGTGGAAGGATGGATTTGGAAACTGTGTGGCTACTGAGAGCCACACGGAAACAGCAGAGGAAGAAGATAAAAACATGTGGAAACAAACACCCCTGTGCTCTGTGATGTGATGTGGCAGGCTGTGTTGGTGTCTGATGTGAAGTCTGACTCAGCAAATAATTAAAGAATATTTTCCACTGCTTTTGCGAAAGGGGTTGCAAGGGAAATAAATGTTTTGATAAAGGCTTGTTTTTTAATAAAGTTGCACGAGGTTAATCGGGAAAGCCTGACACGTGATGGCTCTGGTAGGCAGAAAAGTCATTTTCATTCTTACGCAATTAAGATCACTTTGTGACTTGTTCTGACAGACTTTCTTAAAATTTGTATGTTGCATCAGAAAAATAGAAACCAAATGCTGATCACTTTGGATTTACGTTGGCTGACACTTGAGTTAATTATCAGTCTCTTCATAAACATTGATACATTAATCTAATTACTAGAGGAATTTGTGCCAAGCATTTCAATGATTAAATCCTTTTCATGTAGCTGAGGCATTTGGCAGTAAAATTCCTTGCAGTAAAGCTTGCCATCTACTGGGAAACCGCCAGTACTGCCAGAAACGTGTCAGTACTTTGCATCTTTTAGAAATACTGGAGTTATTAAACGTAAGAAATGCTGAGAAAGACAAAGAAAGTTTCTTTTTCCTCTTGAATAAGTTTGCTTAAGTTAGTGATGCTCTTGATAATATAATCTCAATTTTTCGTATACCAGTCAGTACTTTAAAAGCACGATTTTGCTGTTTTTTTTTTTCCCCAGCTCTTTTCTTAGACACCAGAAACTGTAGGAATCATAGAATTATAGAATCCCCGAGGTTGGAAAAGAACTCCAAGATCATCAGGTCCAACCATCCACCTGCCACCCACTAAGCCATCTACCTTAGTGCAGCGTCTAAATGTTTCTTGAGCACCTCCTGTGGCAATGACTCTATGATGTAATACAGAGTGGTTTGGGATGTTGGAACTGCATGGAAATGAACACAATAGGGCAAAATTAAGTTAGGGGGAAAGGTAAAATAAGTAGGGCAGGAGTTGTGAGAAAGCTGAAACTATTTGGCTCCTTACTCTCCTGTCAAGGAGACTAATGCTCTTCAGTTAAGCAAGTGATACTGAGGAGCCTGATCTCAAATTTTTCCTGAGGATTGGATGGAGTTTTTTCTAGGTTCTGTTTGAATCAAAGCTAGAATCTTCTTGCATGCTTTTCAAAACGCTCTGCTTTCTTAAATGGGTGCAATTTAAAGTAAATCACCAGTTTTCCCTATTCTGTGAATCAGATTAGCAATCAGCCATTCAGTCTGCATCAACAAAACCTTGCAAACTATGTTGATCTGTTTTTAGCAGAAATGTATTTCAGCAAAGGTTTGTTCTTCCTGCAGGTGACTCTTCCCACAAGTTAGTGAAACATGTTAATCAGCAGTGTCATTTAAAATCAGATTTCAATCACCACCAATCACATTGGTATGAGTTTGGGTTCACTTCAGTGCGGTTATGCCTGCACTTTGCTAATCATCACTAATCATCTCATCATGCCTGGGGGCTCCTTGTGATTTGCAAGGCTGTTCTTCAAATGTGCCTTTTCTTCCCTGAAGGGAGGACTCTAAAGCTGTACAGAGGCTCTTAGCACTAACAGCTTCAGGGCCTTTTTTACATACGCTGCAGAGATTTTTCTGAGCTTCTTAACAGAGGCAGTCAATTTTCTAAGGAGGAAAACAAAAATACTACGAGGAGATACTAACTTCTTGATGTCCATAGTCGTCAACAATACTTTTACTGTGCTTCGGGCTTTGAGGAGGACTGTTTTTTAGAAAGAAGTTTTGAATATAACATGAGGGTAGCAAGGGCTCAGATAGTTCGACATCTGGATTAACATATTTGTATTGTTTTCTCGTTTAAAATTTGTCCTTGAGATTTTAAAACTAATCTTTTGATGAAATATCAAGATATGCAACTTCAGTGTGGCGTTGAAGTAGTTAGCTTGTAACTAGAAATATTTAAATGTATTTCAAAGCATTGAGTGCTGCATAGAATAGCACTTGGCTCTGGTGTAATTCAGCATCTATCTTCATTTATGTACAGTATACTGTAAAATGGAAAATACAGTTCACAATGACAATAACTTGCTTGCAAGGATAGTCTTAGAAAATTGTGGATACGCATATATATTAAATCTTGAAGAACTAACAGTGAGGTGAATGCATCTGCATAATCTAAAGAGTAAGAGTTTGGGTTCACATACATTCATTGTAGACTGAAAAGCAGAGATGCCATTCAAGGATCAGCATTTGGCAAATATTGAAGAAAAGGACATAAAAACATGCCATTGTGGATTAAGCACTGCTAGGTAAGGGGGCTGTTTTAGCCCTCAAAATAGCATTTCCATCAAGATTGTGAGTAGGTCACTTTTTTTCTTTCCACACCATTCTGATTTACAAACTGACATCGCAAACTTCCAAAACATTGCACTGACATTATTGCATCCCTATGCAGCCCATCTCCCAATATGCTTGTCTGCTGTCCTAATAATTGAAAGCAATGAGCAGCTTGTAGATACCGTGATACTGTTTCTCCTTGTCAAACTTCATTGGGGATGGAAATGCCACTCTCTAGGACTTCCCCTGTGCTATCCATGGTCAGAATTACGGCTCCATCTGCTCAGTGAGAAAGCATACCTTGGGAAAGTAGGAGGGAACCTGTAACAAACAAGCAGGAGCTTGTCACTGTGGCCATAAAGAGTTAATCCTGACTTCAGCTGTGTGTCCAAAATGTCCTAGCATGTTGTTATAGAAACCGCTTTCAGGCTTTAAATCTTGAATCATGGTTATAACCATGGTAACCGCCACCACACACAGGCACGAAAGAAAAAGGGCAGTTAATTGAAATGTTCTATTTTATATTGAAAATGTTTCAGATACGTTTGTATCCAAAGCCCAAGAAAAGTAAATTAATAACATATCTGAAGGAGAAGTATTCCATATTGTAATGATATTCAGTTGTCATTCTTACGCCTATTTTAAAATGTTGTTTAGGAAGCACTTTAAGATTGAAGCTATTTGTGATTCAAATTACAGTGCATGTTATTTACATGAGTGTCTCTGTGCTGATCACTTCTGCAAGCTCATGCTTGCTGATTTGTGCTGCTCCCCAGGAACAAAGGATGCTACCATTTGCTGTCATTTTTCCTTGCCATCTTGTTCTTGTTGTGCCAGCCCAGACTTGTCTGTTTGCTGTATGTTCTAGCAGGCTGTACTGCCACAGCAAGGTGTGTTCTCTCAAAGGCACTGGCTTGGCACACTGTCCAACTAGTGTGAGAGAGGGGTGGCTGCAGCCCATCAGCTGGTGAGGTGTTGTCAGCAACAGGCAAACCAATCATCTCCAAAATGAGATAAATGTTTTCTTCTCAAAGCTCCTCTTCACTTCTATCCTAAACGATGTTAGCATTGATTAGAAACTGAGTTTATTGCTGCTGTGCAATCTCTGCTGCTGTACACACTGTTGAATATAACATTCCTCTTTCACGGTTTCAAAGTGTATCTGCAAGCCCTTGTCTCCTAAGTCTAGAGAAGAGTAAAGATGGGTGTGCAATTCAAGTCTGTGGCCAAGTAATGAAAACCTTTTTTTTAGTTTAATTAATGTAGCAGAATTTATTCTTAACACAGTAGTGCTGGATTCCTTCATACAAGGGCATGGGGATATGTGGGCAGGTGATGAACAACTTCAGTACATGATGGAGGAAACCCAGCAGCCAGCTTCGGATCAGCTTTTCTATTATTTTTTCAGAGGCAAAAAACAGAGATAATCAGGAGTGTTCAAAATCTAAAACAATTTTAACTAGATGCTAGGGATGAAATCAGTGCCTTTCCTGCTTGCAGTGCTTTTGGATCTTCAATAAAGCTGGGGACATTCTCAGCATATGCCTTGAGATACAAAGCCGTGTGTTTCCAAACTTGTCTTGTGAACCAGGGAAAAATGAGAGCAATGTTTGCAGCTGCATTCACCTGCATTCACAGCTTTCCAAAAAAAAAAAAAAAAAAAAAAAAAAAGAAGAAGGCAAAGGCATACACCTTGGAAGCAAGTATGGAGCAAACTAAGAAGGGAAACAGTGCCAGAACCCAGAGGGGCTGCAGGAAGCATGGTCATGCTTCCCTGCAAAACACAGACTGCAAAATTGACTTCAGGTTCAAATTCTGTCCCTGTGTGTTTGCTTTTGAAAGCCACTAGGAGGCATCTTCTTTACCTTTGATTCTACTATCCACTCCATTGCCCCTTATTTTATTTTGTTTTATTTTTAATAAGAGAAATGCATACAGCAATGATTTTGATGCACATTAACATATACAGGTGCTGTGATTTTAAAATGTGACTGCAAATGTTTGTAGCAGTGACACAGGTCTGATTTCTTTTTCCAAGTCAAAATTAGATATGTTTAAAGCCCTTGGTGTAAGAAATGCATCAAAACAATCTGCAACAAAGGACAAAAATTTTTTTTCATGCAAGTAACATTTTCACATTCACTTTGTTAGTCACCAATTCAGAATCTTTGATTTTCATTTCTTTACATCCTGGTTAAATTTTGGCTTCAAGAAGACATGTATGAGCTCATTGTTCAAACATACAATGGTGATAAAT